CCACCCGGACTTCTTTCCGCCTTCATCCGAACATGTACCGAGATTGTCGCCTCCCCCAACTGTGATACGAGCTGATATCAAGGCATTTTTGTTGAACGATAGCAGGAATTACAGCTGCATTACACTCCTAGCGACCGCGTCTTGTCTCGTTGCGATAATCAACATGTCAGCAACTCTCAAGCATCCAGCGCTTGGGGAAATCAAGGGAAACCAAAGAGATGGAGTCGCACAGTTCTTAGGTCTCAAGTACGCTTCGATAAAAGACCGATTTGCTCCGCCTGAGTTGGCGGATAGTTATGGTCCTGGAAACACAGATGCCACCAAGTTTGGGTACGTACAACATACCTTTCCACCACCCAGCAGCTGCTAAATCAATCCAGGCCTCCTCCAGTATCGCCAGCTGGCTCCATTCATGCAGAATTTAGCTTTATCCAACAGTCCCTGCCGTTACCAGAGGTTCCAGCACAGTCAGATCGTGAAGGTCTGAATCTTAACATTACTGTACCTACAGACAAAAGTGGTTCCATTGACCCAAATGCAAAGCTACCAGTCTACGTTTTCATCCATGGAGGTGGATTTGCAGTTGGAAGCGGCTGGTATCCGCAATATGACCCGGCTCCTATCGTGAAAATGTCCGTTGACATGAAGAAGCCTATAATCGGCGTCACTATCAAGTAGGTCTGGCTGATAGTAGTATAATGACTCCATGCTAAGCCAATCAGTTACCGATTGGGTGTAACGGGATTTCTGACATCAGCCGAATTACGAAAAGCTGGATACAAAGCAAACAACGGCCTTCATGACCAGCGTACTGCACTGCAGTGGGTTAGTAAATTCATAGGTGGCTTTGGTGGCGATCCCGACCAGATCACAGCGTGCGGAGAAAGTGCTGGAGGCGGTACGTTCAACAAACGGTGACCTTGAAAGCATGACTGACTCTTACAGCATCTGTGATATACTTACTGGGCTCCAAAGAGCCATTGATGAAGCAAGGTCTTAGTACTGGGGGAACACCGCTCCTCGTTCTACCCATCCCAGAATCCGTGGCTGAGTCCGCCTACCAAAATGTCATTGAAGCATTTGGGCTCGCAGAACTGTCTCCAGAAGATCGCATTAAGGCTCTCTTGGCCTTGCCAGTCGACGATCTTTGGCAAAAGGCACCACCATCAGCGCCTATGATGCCTTCCATCGACAATAATACAGTACCTGGCTTCCCTGATTTCTCAACTGTTTCATCTCAAGAAGACAAGCCTAATTTCCTGCTGCCTGGCCGAAAATGGTGCAAAGTCTTAATGCTAGGAGACTCGAAGCTCGATGTAAGCTCTTGTGCAAGTTGTAAAGGAGCAAAAGCTAACGTTATCTAGGGCAATATCTTCGCATTCACCACGCTAGATGCCCGTAAGCCTGGCATTGCCCAAGCATTCATCAACTCTTGCAATAGAACATTGTCTGCCCAACCAGAAGTAGCTACAGAATTACTTGCAGCTTACAACATCACTGCCTCCACTTCAGACGACGAAGCAATCCTCGCCTTCGTACGCTTCGCGTCTGAAATTTGCTTTTACGCTGCCTCACGTGCATTTGCTCAGGGTTGGCCAAATACCCCCGAATCGAAACTCTTCCTTTATCACTTCAACGAGGGTATACCTTGGGAAGGTCGGTTCAAAGGCGAAGCCGGCCATATTCTCGACGTAACGTATCTGTTTCAAAATTTCAACGAACATTTGGATGATGCGCAACTTAAGGTAGCCAAGGAATACGGAGCAGACTTTATCAAATTCATCAATGGTGAGAACCCGTGGCCGCCGGTGCAGCAGGACAAGCTGAGCGCGAAGGTATATGGGCCGAGTGCCGACGGCGTGACAAGTAGGTGGGTGCCAGATGGTGCCCCCACAAAGATTGGGCGAGACGAACACGTATTGAAGATTGCAGAGAAGATTGGGTTCGACGCAGTACTAAAGGTTTTTTCTGACTATTTTCAAAATAAGTAGCTATACAGGAAGCCTGATGTTAGGTTAAACATGAAGTGGATCAAACTAGAATAGACCACAATGTTTAGATAATCATAAACATCAAAAACATCCAACATAGAATCAGGAGAAAGACTTCCTGGTCCAGTAATTCCTCTTAATTCCCTCCCCCAACCGCCTCCAACGACGCATATGCTGGTGCAGGCACATCCTCACTGATATCCCCCCAAGCCGACCAATGCGTCCCAACCAACTTCCTCTGCTCCACCTCATCCGCAATCGCAATCGCCATATCCCCCACACTAATCCCCGTCAGTCGCCCCTCAAAGATATCCTTGCCCTCCTGTCGCTCCCCCAAAAGCACCATATCATCCACGCTAATCTCATATTTCCCTGTGCGCTTCCCCGGCCGATACAACGCAGGCGGTGACACAAAACTCCAGCTAAAATCTGTCCTCCCATCGAAGAACATGAACGAAGTACGCCCCGCTTTGATGAAATCGTTCGCATCGTCTTTGCTCCGGATGTGGCGCTCGTACTCTGCAATCGCGGCCAAATCTTCTTCTGAAGGTGGCGACGCCAGACGCGCAGTGCGGTATCGACGCAGCGCCGTGCCCATGATGCCGAGGCGCTCCTCCATGTACGCTATGTGAGCGAGGGATGTGGAGATTGCGCGGCGGTAGGCGAGGAAGAAGTCGGGGTGGTCGACGCAGGGGAGCAAGGTGCCGGGGACGTGGAGGGAGCCGGCGCCGCCGACGAAGAGAAAGTAGGAGGTTGGGTGCAGTTTGTGGGCGAGGATGATTTTGCGGACTGATTCTAGGAAGGGCACTGGAGGAAGTTCGTTAGTTTGTTTTTTGTTCTTTTTTTTTGTACGTGCGGTGTTTTTCACGTAAAGGCTTTGAGATAGGTGTACATGAGTGCAAGGAGATGTAGAGAAAAAGGAGAGAAACGTACTATATAATAATGCCCCTGCTCCTGCTGTATGAGGCCCAAATTCACATACGAGCGCATCGGCGTCTTTGAATGTTTCAGCAATCTTTTCGATCGGTGTTGCATCTATATTCACGGGTCGGGGGATGTAGCGCTCGTGCTTTCCTAGTTTTGCTGGGTTGCGCGATATTCCGATTACAGTGTGACCTCGATTTATTAGTTCAACACAGAGGTACGAGCCACCAAAACCTGCAGGGCCAATCACGGCAATTTTGAGGGGAGAAGAAGGAGGCATGGCTGGGTGAATGAAACAGTTGGTTTGGGTTTCTTTGGAGAAGATGGGAACTGGTGGATGTTTACAACGTAAAGCAGGATTCTGTAATTACTGCCCTTGTAGTAGTACTCTGCATGGTTGTTACACAAATTCGTATCCCTGTCCAAACAGGATGACGCAACACTCAACAGCCGAAGTAGTATTTGGCCAAGGCTGGTAAGTTGGGGATGCAGCGTTGGGGAAAGAGAGGGGTACATGTGGGGCAGCGTAGGCTGGGGTAAAGCCTAAACAGAACTAGGGTGCATGTAGACATCTACTACGGACTAAGGTTCGAAGAAAAGAATATATGGTTTGAGAAAACGTCATTTTGATAAACTTCGATATCATAGGCTGAGTGAGATTATTGGTGAAAAGAAAGGAACAAACGACTTTGGACATTATGACAGAAGACTATGCATTCATCGGTACTCTCACCAAGACCAGCAAACAAGGACGTGTATACGGAGAACATCTATTGACAACTATGCAACAGGTCTGGGTGCAATGGGTTACGCAATGGCATCCAATATACGCCTCAAAATGCCTGCAACCTCCACTTTCTACATCAACGACATCAACGCCTCATCCTGCACACGCTTTAAGTCCGAAAACTCTAGCCACGGTCCCATAGAAATCACCGCCTCAGCACGAGAAGCCGCCGAAAAAGCCAAATACCTCATCTCTATCGTACCGGACGGCTCAGACGTCAAAAAAGTATATCTCGACCCCGAAACCGGGGTCATCGCCGCGCGTAAGGATCAAGAACGAATAATGCTAGAATGCAGCACCATCGACGTGCAAACCACAAAAGAAGTCGGCGCAGCACTCCACCACGCAGGCCTAGGAACGTACATTGACGCCCCTGTATCCGGCGGCGTCCCCGCCGCCCAAGCAGGCACTCTAGCCCTCCTAATCGGCCATCCACCCCCCTCTTCCTCCACCTCCACCCTCTCCCTATCCACCCGCCTCACTTCCATCCTCTCCATGCTGGGTCCCACCTCAAAATCCTTCTATCTCCACACCCTTGGCGCAGGCCTAACCGCCAAAATCGCAAACAACTACCTCTCAGGCACCATCCTGCTCGCCACCGCCGAAGCCCTCGCCCTGGGAATCTCGCACGGCCTCGACCCCTCAGCCCTCTACTCCGTCATCAAATTCAGCACCGGCCAATCCTGGATGTGCGACCATGTGATGCCGGTGCCGAACGTGCAGACGGAGTACTGGGTCCCGAGTAATAGCGGTTATAAACCTGGATTCAAGACGCAGATGATGGTTAAGGATTTGGGGCTTGGGGTCCAGAGTGCGAGGCAGGTGGGGACCGGGTGTAGTATGGCGGAGAAGGCGTTGGAGGTTTGGAGGCAGGCGGCTGAGGACGAGCGTTGTAAGGATAGAGATGGGAGTAGTATCTATTTGTTTGTTGGGGGGAAGTTGCCAGAGGGGCATGAGGATAGGGGGGTGAGGAGGGAGGATGGAACGTGGGAGTTTGGGGAGTAGTATTGTGAGAGGGGATGGGGGAGAGTTAGTAGTCAATTGGGACAAATGTCATATAGCTTGATTTTTGGGAGTTGGATTAATCTCTGAGAAGAACAGGGCAAAGGGTTTGCTGGGTGTCATGATTCAATAATCGGTCTGGCTATCTATGTTACGGGATATGTGATATCTGTCTCAGGTGCTACAGACAAAGCTCAATTCGTCTGACCCTGCCCACAAACTGGTCCATCATTCCAACAGTGGGTTCTTAAGAGCAGTATGCTGTTCCATCACGTTGAGGTTCGCAACCATGCCAGTCAGTGCAACGCATCTGTCATTGAGTTAGTATAACGGAAGTGAAAAGCTACAGTTCGTACTTATCCTGCATTTGGTAATCTTGTTTGGATCGCCATTGCCGCATATTTGCCGATATGGGTCGCAGATCTAGAGTGTTAGTATTAGAAATTATAAGAGTATACAAGGAAGTGAATTGACTCACATAGTATGGGAGGGGAGTCGGTGCCGGAGAATCTGTTACCGGATTTCTCCACTTCACACGCATCTCGTTGGCACGAATGATCCTGGCGGCAGCTAGGAGGAGGAAGATCTTATTCAGGTCGATTATCATCTTGAACAATTAATCTCTCCTTTTCTTCAATTGGAGATATAGTGAGTACAAAGCTATTGGTATAATGCGGTGGTGACTGGGTGCAAACAGCAAACAGGCTCCTAGAGTATGGACAACAGTGTCGCTGTTAGTCTTGAATAGTCATTTGTAGACTCCTCCAAATATATATCTGAGTCATTCAAAGAGGCATAAATAAGCACTAAGCAACAGGTTTTGCGAAGAAATAATATCACGGTAGGTTGTTAGAGTAAGCGCCGAACGATCGACGACGTTAGATAGTGCGCTCCAATATAGCCCCATTGGCTGATTCCAGTCACGATCTTCGTATTGCGACACAGATGTACTCACCGTATTGCGTCATTAAAAGTTGTGAGACGGGAGGCTCCGGGGTTCGATCCGTTTTTGGAAGCGGGTTAAGAAGTAAACTTCCATGTTGAGAAGGTCTAATCGTCATCAGATATGGAGGCAAGAAAGCTCAGCAGTTACTATTGGGAAAGCCATTGATGATTGATTACTTTACTTGAACGCGAGTATTGTCTTCATATAACTAAAGGGATTTTCTGAAAGAGTCGTATTGTTTCCTCACATCGATGCACGATAAACATGTACTATCCATGCACGTATTACACTTGAACGTACACGGACACTAATCGAGATGTCATCTCAGGTCTGCGTACTTACATACGTAATACACATCTTGGACATTATCTCATCCGTTCAAGAATTCTTTCGTATCATAAAATTAGATAAGAAAGAGTAATACATGAATTCATCGCTATCAAACTCCGCAAACCTCAAATCTTTTTCATCATTTCTCCTCTCCCCAAACTCATACAACCATCTCCTTCAAGCCCTCACTAACCCTAAACGGCGCCTCCGTCTTACTCCTAATCTCATCAACCGTCACCCCCTTAGCATGCTCGATCAATGTCAAGCCCTCCACACGATCGCACTCAAACACCGCCAGATCAGTAATAATCGTGCTGACGCACTTCTGGCCTGTGAGCGGGAATGTACATTGCTTGAGGATCTTGGGGTTGCCCTTCTTGTCGACGTGTTCCATGGTGATGACGACTTTGGTTTGCGTGGGGTTGGCGACGAGGTCCATGGCGCCGCCGATGCCTTTGACTTTGCCGGGGAGCATGAAGTTTGCTAGGTCTAGACGCTGGAGTTACAGAGGTGTCTTAGTGGTTTGTTGGAGGGGAAAGAGACGTACCTCCGTATTGGTTTACTTGCATGGCGCCGAGCATCGCGACGTCTATCCGTCCGGAGCGGATCATGCCGAATGACTCGTGGCTTCCGAATGTTGATGCGCCTTTGATGAGTGTGACTGTTTCTTTTCCTGCGTTGATCAAGTCTGGGTCCTGTTTTCGTGTAAGTTTGGCTCTTGTGCAGAAGGATATTTGAGCCTACCTCCTCTCCTGGCTTAGGATATCTTCCCATACCCAAGATGCCGTTCTCAGACTCAAGTATGATTTCAGTGCCCTCGGGTAGGAAAGCGGGTGCTGCGAGAGGCATGCCAATACCAAGATTGACGTACATGCCGTCCTTGAGCTCTTGTGCTGCGCGCTTGATGATACGCTCACGCTTTTGTGATGCTTCGGATGATCCTGATAGACTGTCAGTTTACGAAGCCTCTTTACTGAGAATCTCAACCAAGACGTACCACCTTCCAAAAGCGCCTTCTTCTGCTCTTCAGGGCTCTTCCAGAACACCTTTCTCTCAATCGCTTTGCCTACTGTGCTCTTGATCACCCTCTTGACGTAGATTCCCTGAAGATGGATATCCTCGGGTGCAATCTCGCCATCCTCAACAATCTCATCTGCTTCCACGATAGTCATCTTTGCATTCTTGCCCATTGCTTCGTTGAAGTTGTTCTGTGCTTTTCGGAACTGGCAGTTACCGAGACGGTCGGCTTTGGCAACCTTGACGAATGCATAGTCTCCGAAGATAGCTTCTTCCATGACATACGATTTTCCATTGAATTCACGTGTTTCCTTTGGCGGTGCCATTTTTGCGATCGTTCCGTCAGTGTTGTAGCGGACTGGCAGTTCACCAGTTTGTACTACAACATGTCAGTCAACATTCTTCAATAAAGCTCTTCTGCAAAACGCACCTATTGTTCCATATGCAGCCGGTGTGTAGAAAGCTGGTACGCCTGCAGCACCCGCAGCGCACTTTTCTGCAATGGTACCCTGAGGGGTCAACTGCAGACTTAATTCTCCCTTCAAGTACATTTGCTCAAACACCTTGTTGTCTCCAATATAACTCGCAATCATGGTGCCAATCTGCTTAGTTTCCAGAAGCTGTCCCAGTCCAACACCCGGCATACCAGCATTGTTGCTGACAACTGTGAAGTTTGTGAGGTCGGATCGATCGCGTAGAGCATTAATAAGGGTGTTCGGTACTCCAGAGAAACCAAAGCCACCAACCAGCAGCGTGGAGTCAGACTTCATGTCCTTGATAGCGTCTTCTGCGGAAGAGACTATCTTGTTGATTGCGGGTCGTGATGTGCTGGCGGAGAAGAAGCGCATGCCTGTCGCCGGGCCACGGCGGCGCGCCGAAAAGAGTAGAGATCTTTGCATTGCGGAAGGCTTTGGTCGTTGTACAATAAGAAACAAATTAAGGTTGATGTATGTGTGCTCAATCCGATCAGTAGGTGTTCAGGTGTTGAGTTGCTAGATGTTTCAAGGAATAACTGGACTTCAGCACAAGGGTATCTACGTCACAGCGATAGGCTCCAATGTCCTTTACAGTTGTCAACGGCCAAAGATGATAGAGAAATTGTGGTGGTGGGAAATCTGGTGCGGAGATGACACTCCCCACACGGACAGCACGAGGCTATGCATCATTGTTACTAGCGAGTTGGGGCAGACCGACACAAGTGCCGCGCCGATGGCGGGTGAGAATGTCTCCACAATCGGAGGCGGCGGAAAAGAGCTTAACCGAGGACATTGCGGAGGTTGCGGGCAAAACGTACGTTGATTGGTCAAATCAGGCAGCGGAAAATGCCATAGGGTTCGGACATGGAAAAGGTTTCCACCGCTTGTATGGAAAATGTTTCCGCTTGTCAAATCTAGCATAGTTAGTTCACATGCTGGTGGTATCTCGGCCTTGTAGAACTACTAGTTTGATTCATCAAACAAGCTACACTTCAATTACATCTACTACGGTTCATTTCCTTGCTTCTAGCGCATGTTTCAATAGAGGCCACGCACAACTTGCTTCACTGTAGAAAATGTTAGCTGCTGGATGTGAGGCTGTTAGTAAAATGACTTACAGCTAGCAAAGTCTTTGTGTTCTTTACTGTGCAGTGCGCGCAAGGCAATGGCTTCTTCTTCAGCTTCCCCTGTTGGCACATTGTACTGGAGGCATGTCAGTATTTGTGACTTAAATGTGTTCAAGCAACTCACAGCTGTCAATGTAGTCTTGTGTCCTAGCTCCTCAACTAGGCCCGCAATGGCATCAGCGACGATGTGCGAATCCTTCTCGTCGCTACCGGCACTTTGTTTGCCAATATACGGGATGATCCTGGCAATCTGCTTGGCTTCTTCTGGGTTACTAGCCTTGTAGTGTACTGTGGGAGCTAGACTGAGACAACTGGTGATGCCGTGCGGAATACTATATGTAGCACCGATTGCATGACCGATACTGTGGCTAAGACCAAGGCCACCGGTGTAGAGGAAAGGGAAGAGTGACGAATAGCATGCAATGAAAAGCTTTGTGCGAACTTCAGCATCGTTAGGGTTGGCCTTTGACTGGGGCAAGTAGGTGAACAGATCCTTGATCGCCTCCAAAGCCATGCGCTTCGTAGGTATTTCGGCTGCAAGCGGGTGGTACATGAGCTCCACTGCATGATCCAAAGAGCGTATCTGAGTCAAGTCAGTTAACAATCAAAAACAAGTTGTTTGTAGCATGTGCGCTTCATACCCCTGTACTAGTCCAGAGATTCAGGGGTGTATATACGGCAATGTCTCCGTCATAAATCACGACTGAAGATAGTTAGAAAGTGCTCAGACATCTTAGGATATGTTACCACTCACCCTTGGGTACCAGCTCCGGGTGGCTGACTGCAATCTTGTGCTTCTCCTCGGTAGTGAAACCGGCATTTTGTGTGGTCTCAGCCACACTGAGCGTTGTCGGAACAGCAATGCTAGGTATCCATTTTCCAGTCTCCTGGTGGATGTTGTATGCAATGGCCTTTGCCGAGTCGATGGGTGATCCACCTCCTATGGATACAAGCGCATCACAACCTGATCTTGCCATCAAGGATGTTGCTTCCTTAATGTCCTGGATCGGCCTAGATGAAATCAGTTTCCAGTGAAATGGAAAGATTGAAAACTACTTACGCATGCTGACCAATCTTGCTGAATGTACCGCCATGAGCTGATCCCAGAGTCTTCTCGATATTTTTAATTACCGGTGTCTTCTCGTACAATGATCGGCCTGTGATGATGAAGGCTTTGGTTGCACCGAGCTCGGTAATAACATCTAAGAGCTGGTTACTTGTTCCTAGCATTAATAATTAGCCCTGTTGAGAAAATAGAGGGAGTGTGTTCACCATTGCCGTATATCATGAGCTTGATGGGCGATGCTCTGTACACTCCCTTGGTAGTGGAGTCAATGCTGCCATTCTGGTATTTGTTCGGAAGAGCCATCGTGTAGTGTCGCTTTTGTCTTAGTATGCGGGCAAAGATGGTGAGAGTGAATTGTTGCGTCTTCATGCAGGCCAGATCCGGCAAACATTAGTGTCATGCTGCACCATTCGTCATGGAGGGGTCTCCGGCGTCGCCCCACACAGACGATAGCCCCGCCACAGCGACTACCGCGACCACATGCGGTAGTCCCTGCACCGCGTTTGACTATGCGTTACATATGTAGAGCGCCACATTGCTCGTAATGGATCATGGAATCCTCGAGTCTTCGCGAAGATGGCAAGTTTTAGCAGAGCGGCGCGAAATATTCTGCAGAAGAACCCAAATGATGTTGTATTGCTTTCGGCTGTCAGGTCACCAATTAATCGGAGTTTCAAGGGTGGATTCAAAGATGCACATCCAGAGGATATTCTGATGCCGGTGGGTTCTATTGTGTATAGATCTCGAGCAATCATTAATTTTTCCAGGTCATGCAAGCTGCTGTAGAGCGGGCCGGGATCGAAAAGAACGACGTCAACGACGTCTTGATAGGAAACGTTCTCGCAGAACTTGGGTTTGCAAAGACCGGACGAATGGCGCTGAACCATGCTGGCTTCCCAAATTCAACTACTTTCCACACAGTCAACCGTCAGTGCTCGAGTAGCTTGCAGGCAATAACCCACATAGCACATTCAATCATGGTGGGTCAGGTGGACGTGGGGCTTGCTGGAGGCGTGGAAAGCATGTCAAGGAACTACAGCTCGCGGGGCATTCCAACGGATGTTTCGCCTACACTTTTGGAATCAAACGTCAAAGATGCTCGCGATTGCCTCATGCCCATGGGCATCACGTCAGAAAACGTAGCGGAAAGATATGGTATTGATCGGAAGTCACAAGACGAGTACGCTGTACGAAGCCACGAACGTGCGAGTCGTGCACAAAAAGAAGGCCGCTTCGATTGGGAGACTGTGCCTGTGAAGGTGCGACGAATTGATGAAGCGAGCGGGCAGCCAGCGGAATTCGAAGTCACCAAAGACGACGGTATCCGGCACGGACTGACTTTTGATAAAGTTTCAGCGCTCAAGCCTGTATTTGGCGAGAACGGCAAGAGCACTGCAGGCAATTCGTAAGACGCGCTCTCAACTTACAATCGCAAAGCTAACAAGGTAGCTCGCAAATCTCCGACGGAGCATCTTCCACGATCCTTGCTCGACGTTCATGGGCAGAAGCTCGTGGACTTCAACCACTGGGCCGCTTTGTAGGCACACAGATTAAGGGCTGTGCGCCGGATGAGATGGGTATCAGCCCCATTTTCGCCATACCAGCGTTACTGAGATGGACGGGTGTAGAGCTCAAGGACGTGGGCATTATCGAGCTGAACGAGGCGTTTGCGAGCCAGACGATTGCATGTATACGGCAACTGGGGCTGGATGAAGAAAAAGTCAATCCAAATGGTGGGGCTATAGCGCTTGGGCATCCCACTGGAGCCACGGGTGCGCGTCAGACAGCGACGTTGTTCGGGGAGCTGCGGCGTCAGGACAAGGAGATTGGCATTGTGAGCATGTGTGCCAGCACTGGCCTAGGCGTGGCATCGCTGTTCGTACGAGAGTCGTAGCATGGTAGATGAAAATTCAGAAATGAGGAGTGATGGTCATGGCGATGGTCGTGGTGATGGCAACGACAGTGACTGTAAAGCGGAACGCGTGTAGGCATGCGGGATTGACACGAAGTCACGTGCACTAGTGCGCCACCGCCAAGGGCAGGACCCGCCCGTACCGGTATATCCACACATGCGCCCATATGCATAGACTCCGCTCTGCTCTTCCCCACACTGAGGCTGCACCTCGCGTCCCACACGCCCGGCTTCCACTGTCCACCGCCTACCAGCAAGGAGCCGCCATGTTGTGTCTGCCGCAGCGGGCCTTTTTGAAAGGTTTATCTCCTTTCAAGGCCCATTGAGTTTCGCCCCATCCAAAAGCTACTCATCATGTTCTTGCTTCGACGCGCCCCACTACGTGCAATTCCACGACTAAACACTATTCGCCCTCAGCGGCGACTGCTCGGCAGCGTCAGCGCAATTGATTCAGTCATCTTTCGCACCCTCTTTGGCACGGATGAGATTCGAAAAGTGTTCGACGACAAGGCATACATTGACCGATGCGTCGACGCTGAGACAGCCCTGGCCAGGGCACAATCAAAATGCAACGTCATCCCCTCTCACATTGGGGAAGTTGTGACATCAAAAGCCAGGGAGGCGCAGCTCGACTATGACAAGCTACGTCGTGAGACTGAAATTGTCGGATACCCCATCTTCCCGTTAGTACGCCAGCTGTCTGCATCCTGTGGTGATGAGGCCGGCCGCTACGTGCATTGGGGCGCTACCACGCAGGATATCATGGATTTGGCAAGCATTCTGCAGATGAAGGAAGGCCTCCAGATTGTCGAGCGCACACTACGGTCCGTCATTAAGAATCTTGAACATCTCTCGAAAAAGCATAGAGATACGCCCATGGCTGGCCGCACACACTTGCAACATGCTCTTCCTATCACATTTGGCCACAAGTGCGCCATCTGGCTTTCAGGATTTCAAAGACACCTTGAACGCTTGGAACAGCTCAAGGACCGCGCACTAATGGTGCAATTTGGAGGAGCTGCGGGTTCCTTGGCTTCACTCGGCTCAGGCGACCATGGCATTCGTGTTCGAAAGGAGATGGCAAAAGACCTTGGACTTACAGATCCTCCCATTACTTGGCATGTTGCACGAGACGGCGTTGCAGAGATCACCAATTATCTTGCACTCGTCGGTGGATCTCTAGGAAAATTGGCCCTAGACATTATCATCATGTCATCAAACGAGCTCTCCGAGGTATCAGAGCCGTTTGTGCCACACCGAGGCGCCTCGTCTACTATGCCGCAAAAGAGGAATCCCATTTCAAGCGAGGTCATTCTGGCGGCGTCAAAGATCTTAAGATCAAATGCAGGCTTGGTGCTTGATGGCATGGTGTCAGATTTCGAGCGCGCTTCTGGACCATGGCATCTGGAATGGGTGGCTGTCCCAGAAAGTTTTGTCATTGCAGTTGGTGCACTCAACCAGGCTGACTTTGCGCTTTCTGGGCTAGTTGTGAATCCCAAGCAAATGCTCACGAATCTATATTCGACAAAGGGCCTTATCGTGGCTGAGGCTGTCATGATGGGTCTTGCGCCACATGTTGGTCGCTCAAAAGCACACGATATTGTTTACGAGGCATGCAAGGAGAGTATAGAGCGTGATACCAGTTTGTTAGAAGCTCTGCAGACACGGTCTGAGATAACGGACAAGATCTCTTATGAGGAATTGAGCTCGTTATGTGATGCCAAGAACTACCTGGGTTCGTGCGGACTCATGGTAGATGAAGTCTTAGCTGCATCGAAATAGTAGTTATACTAAATGATGATTTTTGTAAATCAGCCGCTCAATTTGGTGACCATTGACTTGTAAATTCGCCATGCCACATCTGAGTAAGCACTAGATTTCTCCCCAAGTTCGAAAAAACACCCCGCAGACGAAGAATGATAAGGCCCACGATGTGGTTCCATCTCCCAAGCAACAGGTAAGACAGTCTGACCTCACGAGTCCCACTAACCCGGTCCTGGTCATCCTTCACTCGTTGTGGGTCTTTTGCAGCTCCTGGAACCCATATCCCGAAGACGTAACCCCGCTATCATGCGCATTAGGCCCCGCCACCACATCATGCACAGACCGATCATCTAGTGGCGGCAGATGTCGGCATACAGTTCCACAAAGAGGAGAAGTCCAATATAAGGCTGATTTTTTCGACACTGTAAGTTTTGGCGTATTCATTCGACATATCCAAACATTGAGCAAGATGCAAGACTTCAAAGAACGCAAACTCGTCACCGACCCACAGAAGGCTTTCCACTATACCGATCTCCAGAGGCTAAAGCCAACACGAGCCAATGATCCATACGACTACCAAGCAGGATGGGGAAATCGACATCAATCTGAAGTGATTCCAGGCACACTTCCAGTGGCACAGAACAATCCTCAAGAAGTCCGGTTTGGCCTCTATACTGAAGGCATTACATATTCGGCATTTGCGGCTCCCCGCGCACACAACTATAGTACTTATATGTACCGCTGCCGGCCAGCGGCTGCTCACCGTATGTATTTTGTTCAATACGATGAGGTCATCACTAAGATTCAACAGAGGGATACATTCCGTTTGAATCCAAGTCCAACATCACAAACTGCTTTTTGTCTATCAACCCAAAGGTCGAGACTCTGCCTGAGCAAGCTGAGTGGAGACCATTCCCATTTCCCAAAGATGACGAGAAGATTGACTTTGCCGACGGTCTGCACACGCTTGCCGGCAGTGGCGATCCAAACATCAGAGAGGGTATTGCACTCTATGTCTACATGATCAACTCTAGCATGGACCGACGAGCATTCTGCAACACTGACGGCGACTTCCTCATTTGTGCCCAACAGGGCAATCTCGACATCAAGACTGAGATGGGAAAGATCTTCCTCCAGCCAGGAGAGATTTGTGTGATTCAACGTGGTATCAGATTCTGTCTCAACCTCGCTCCGGATACGCCGGTCGCCCGTGGGTACATCACAGAAGTGTGGGGCTCTATGTGGGAGCTCCCAGATCTTGGGCCTCTGGGTGGCCATGGACTAGCCAATCCTCGTGACTTCCTATACCCAGTGGCTGCCATTGATGAAGAACTACATGAGAACTGGCAAATCGTCAACAAGACCAACGGCCAACTCGTAGCCATCCAGCAAGACCACAGCCCCTTCGACCTCGTAGCATGGCACGGCAACGTCGTCCCCTACAAGTACGACCTCACCAAATTCTCCTCCCAAAACAGCACATCAATCGACCACACCGACCCATCCATCTTCACCGTCCTCACAGCTAAATCTCGTGACCCCCTAACACCACTCTGCGACTTTCTATGGTTCGGGCCCCGCTGGGATGTAGCAACAAACACCTTCCGCCTCCCCTACTTCCACCGCAACTCAGCCTCCGAGTTCCTCGCCTGCATATACGGCAAGGGCCTCGGCCGCAGCGACGACTTCCAGCCCGGCGGCGGCAGCTTCGAAGGTAGCCACACGCCGCATGGTGGCTTCCATGAGGGATACCAACACGGCATGCGGATCCACGAGAGTGAGCCTGAGAAGATATTGACCGGTAAGAAAGCTCGACTTGGATATGGAACATTCATCATGTGATGGAATGCTAATGAGGGGAACCAGACCAACTCACCATAATGATCGAATCCAGCCGTCTCTTCCTCTGGACAGAGTACGCACGAAAAGGCTGTGGTGTCATCGAAACACATGGTACGAACTATAAAGTTTGGGATAATCTACCTGTGCGTTCCCCTTCTCCTCCCCCGTTCCTTGCTTTCTTTTCCCTTTTGCTGATGAAGAATCTCGTAGGACCGCTTCTCATCCAACAAGCGCGCCCAAGACCTCCTCGCTCGCATCAAGCAAGACAAGATCGCTGAAAAACAGCGACTTGCACCGTATTACTTTGGGGGTTTTGCGCATGGTGCAAATACGAGGGATGATGATGGGGTGCATAGAGAGGAGCTTGAGGGCTATTTGGGTGTGGGAAAAGGGAAGGTTAATGGTATTAATGGGGTAAAAGCTTAGCTATGTCATTCCCTTCTTCGTTTCTTTTTCTTTTGGTCTTGCTGGCAAGTAGATTTATACGTCATACGGACGGTTTGTAAGGATATCTTGAGATTATTGGCATGCAGCGTGGAGGCAGAAATTGATACATGTTCTTCTTTCCCGCCTACTTGCCGTTCATCATACCTACGAAGCAATCCGTCTGTGCCTTCATACCATCCGCCTTCCCATCTCCCTCTCTTCTCTCCCCAGGACCCCACAAAAGCACGCGTTCGGTATGTGGGGCGTTGACTATTTTCATACCTCGGCCATTACATTCATACATCCATCCATCCATACATACATATCAATTTTTTTTTCTTTTTTTCTTTCGATTATTCAATCACTCTCACTAGCATACACTAGGCGTTAATCATGTATTCCCTCGCGCGATGCAGCCGGCGACAACTACGAATGCAATGTTTTATTCTCCAAACATCCGGGCAAAAAGCGTGGGTAAAGAGGGGGATAGCGAGCCATGCAGATAGTAGGGCGGTGGAGAAGTTGCCTTTGGCTGGAATCAAGGTGTTGGATATGACGAGGGTGCTTGCAGGGGTAAGTACGTTTAGGTAATACTATCTTCTTTCGGAATCCTTTTTACTAACAGCGGGTTCTTTTGTGTAAAGCCATATTGTACGCAGATTCTTGGGGATTTGGGGTAAGTATTTCCTATTTCGGATTATGGGGAAATAGATGGGGAAATGGTGACCGGGGTTGAGGTTGAATTCTGATTCTTGGGGTTTTTTGCTGACGAGGAAGCAGAGCAGATGTTATCAAGATTGAGCATCCGACTAGAGGTGATGACACAAGATCTTGGGGGCCGCCGAATGCACCGTACGTTGATGGTGTGGAACGGCAGTTTCCTGGAGAGAGTGCGTATTATCTTTCTGTAAGTCCATCTCTCCCTATTCCGCTCTCTCTTTTTGTCCAAGTCCGACTTTACTAACCACATATTTTCTTACTTCAACATAGGTAAATCGCAACAAGAAATCCGTGGGCCTCGCCTTCAATAACCCTACCGGAACATCCATCCTGCACAAACTAGTCCAGCAATGTGACGTGCTGGTGGAAAACTATCTCCCTGGCTCACTTGCAAAATACAAACTCGACTACGCTACCCTCTCGGCACTCAACCCCTCGCTCATCTACGCGTCGGTGACGGGCTACGGGCAAACCGGGCCGTATCGCGACCGTGCAGGCTACGATGTTATGGTGGAAGCGGAAATGGGACTCATGCACATTACAGGCGAGCGGGATGGACCGCCTGTCAAGGTTGGGGTTGCAGTTACGGACATCATGACGGGCATGTACACGGCGATTGGGATTCAAGCAGCGTTGTATGCGCGTAAGAGTACGGGACTGGGACAGTGGATCGATGCGAGTTTGAGCGATGTGCAGGTTTCTGGGCTGGCGAATATCGCGAGTAGTGCATTGGTAACGGGCAAAGGGGATAGTGGGAGATGGGGCACCGCGCATGGTAAGTTGCCTTTTTCCAATTTGTGGGGGGTCGAAGGGGAACTGGCTAGGGAAATACATAGAAATATGGATGTGTACATGGGTCGTTGAAATAAAGCTAACAGGATGCACAGCAACGGTAGTGCCGTACCGGGCATATGCAACAAAGGATACCAACATTGCAGTAGGCGGATGCAATGATCGCCTGTTCAAAATCCTTTGCGATAAGCTGTCACATCCAGAATGGGCGTCAGACCCACGTTTCCTAACGAATGCGCTCCGCGTACAACATCGCACCACACTCGACGCCATGGTGGAGGCAGAGCTCAAGACCAAGACGACAAAAGAATGGCTGGATATCTTTGAAGGCAGTGGAATGCCGTATGCGGCTGTCAACGACATCAAGGCAACTGTAGAGCACGAGCACGTGCTTGCAAGGGGGATGATAGAAGAAGTCGATCACAAGGCTCTTGGAAAAGTCAAACTCGTAAACCATCCAGTCAAGTACTCAAGAGCAGAGCCCAAGATTCGAATGCCGCCGCCGCTATTAGGCGAGCATACGGATGAGGTCTTGAGAGAGGTGCTGGGGTATGGCAAGGAGGAAATCAAGGAGCTGAGAGATAGTGGCATTGTTGCATAGGTATCTACATAATACGAAACGTAATGTTGTACAATATATGCATAAACTAATCCTTCTCGCTACATACGGACACATGTACGACATAGGACGCTAGGTATTGTATGTATGTACATTGATATAGCAAACCAAGCTCGAACGATAACCAATCTATGTGGTGGGTCATGTTCAATGCCTTTGCTCACCTGCCCAATCCATCGTGTTGTCCGTTCCGAATGATCGAGGTCCTTACTCGGTCAGTACGCGGTCTTGTCATGTTTTCCCCCTCACCTCCCCCTTTTTTTTCTTCGTCTTTTTTTTTCAGCGTTTTGGTCTGCTGAGCAAATTTACTGTTTCGGCGTTTCTTTCAGGGTTATTCAAACCTTGTTTTGGGTGGTCGTGTCAGCATGCACGCGCATATGCAATGTCACCGGAGGGCCCCACGACGTCGTCCTCTTTTACCCTTGCAGACGCGCTAGCCCCACCGATGCCCCACACAGATTCGGACCTCCAACACGTCCTTTATTAGTCGTCGTGGCGAGCAGTATCAATTTGGAGCTTGGATGGTGAGTGTGATTGTGGTTTCAGAAGCGTGCTGGTGTGCATGTCATCAACGTCGGCGTCTTGCTTGTCTGGCAATATGTGTCTGTTGATCGCCATGATCCTTGGCTGCGTATCCGCGGAATACCGCAAGATGGAATCGAGATGTAACACTGTTTGAGAAAGACAATTTTCCCTGGATCGAGTGGCATGATCTCGTCGTGCCAATGACGACACGCTCGGAGTATGTGATGAGTCTGCAAGATGCACATATGCGTACATCTTGAGCCTGATGTGCATGAAACAGGCTCAGACGTGATTAGTAGTATACACTTTGCAGAGGCACCGAGCCATGTCCGGCTGAGCTCTTCTTGGATTTCTGTGCATGCTCAATGTCGTCGGGTGTTTGGACAGAGCAAATGGAGAGTGCATGTTGTTAGATTAGTGTCAACGGCCACGCCACGTGCAATATAGGGTCCTCTAGCACGCGAGAATGATTAATTGCATACTGAAAGCGAACCGATTGGCTAGCGGCGAGTTTTCAAAGGCGGCCCAAACGTCTCGAAGCTTTTTGAAACCCACCCTATACGCAAAATTTCCGACGTCCGATGTCCGACTAGGAGACGGCCATGCGGGCTATTTACCGATGTCCAAATTAGCAATCAATTGACAACAGCTGCTACATTGAGCGAAGCACATTGCCGTAACAAGGCAATGAGAACGGTGGAAGGATTCAATATGGCCAACAGGGCGGCATGGCCCCACCGATATACGCATCACGTCCCACATGCGAGGTGATCCGGGGTTGAAGTAGGAGGGAATCTTTCGAGAAGTCGGACCTGAACGCAGTCCTTTTCCAATACTACGTTAGCAGCATAGCACTACTACGCCCTTTTGCGTCGGTCGACCAGGCAGTCGAAACGAGGCGCAGCACGATCCCTATGGCTGGACGGTGAGCTCATGGGGTGTAAGCCGATAGGCTTTGTGTGTTGGGGTGTGGCTGCGTGATTGGCATAGGGCGCGTGGCAACCGTCAGATCAGCGTTGGGATCGGGTGGCAACGATTGGAGAGGGAGGATGTCGGGCGGAGCAATCTAGAGGAGGTACTGCGGATTTATATGCGTCTGGTAGATGAGGTCGACATGAGCCTATACTGGCCGCATAGTAGGCCGAGTCAGGGCAGAAGCATCATGGCTTCCCCCGCAGTCCACCATGGCTTGGCAGCCTGACTAGCGCCTCCGGGCGCCGGCCTTCGAAGGGTCCTCCGATCACCCGTCAAACACTTGAAACATTGCAACTGCTGCCAACCATGGCATTGAAGCAATGTAGTATGTGCGATCGCACCTTCACCAAGCGTATGTTGCCCTCCGCCGTCTGGCGACCATCAACTTGCAACCAACTGACCTGCCCCGACAGTCGAGCACGTGAAGCGTCATGAGCGGTCCCGTATGTTTGCCCCCAGTCTGTCGACAACGACGACGACGATGGAAACAGCACCAGCAACTAATCCATCAACCAGACACCAGAGAGCGCCCCTACGAGTGCCCGACTTGCAAAAAGCACTTTTCGCGCAGGTGAGGCTTCCTCGAGAAAAAGTAAAAAGAGTTCCCCGTGTCCAACCTCCAATCAGCGACGTCCTATTTCGACACTGCAAAGGCCATGCCCAAAATGCCATGAACCGGATGAAAAACAATGAACAGCAGCAGAATGCCTCGACGCAGCACCAGCAGCACCAGCCTCTGCGCAACAACTCTCTCGATGATAGCAAGACTCCAATGTCAGCGGTGCCTTCCCGCACAAACAGCGGTCCCACGCCAATGCAGACACCTCCCATCCAGGACGACGCCAGCTTCTCGCCCATGACCAGCAGGACAGATGCGCAAATCCAGCAGCATATGAACCCAAACCGCCACTACAGCGCCCATCTTGCTTCCACTCCTCACGCTCGCCAGCCTGCCTCGCGAATGCATCCGGCTTCACCCGGGGATGATCGCATCGAGGCGCTTATTAATGCTGCCCAGCACCTTGAGCCTGGAGTCGACACGCCATGGCGGTCGCCCTCGCCAATGCTCATTTCCCGCGCAGAAACCGCGCCGATGCAGAGCCGCAATCACCACGACAACATGGGCCCCCCCATTGATCCGGCCATGGAGGTCCTTTCATTCTCGCCTGCAGGACATGTTTCAAGCTTGGACCAGTGGGCGTTTGAACTCGTCCAGAGCAGCAACCCAATTCCCAACCGGACCCCAGCAGATGCACTACAGACGTGGCTGTTTCCAATAGAGCAAGAAGGGCACACGCCAAGTGGACCGCACTCGCTCGGAGTAGGAGGGGTTGATGGCGGCTTCTTCGACTCGGACGCCTTTCGAGCAATGCAAGAGAATCAAGCCAGCCCGTCAGGGAGTAGCGCATCCATTGCAAGTAGGGTGCCAAGAGAGCGCTTCCAAAGAGTCCAGAATTGCTGGCCATCACGGAATCGGCGCTCGTCGCGTTTAATGCCGGATCTGTGGCAAAGTCTGGTCTCGTCCGATTGCATCAATATCCTCTCCGAGTATGAGTCCAGATTAGCGGATACACCCGCCAGCGAGAGGCAACGCAAGAATCAGCGTTGGGGTCTTGATGAGGAATGTAGAAGCAAGCTGCAAACCACACTGAACAATCTACCCATATCGAATCTGATACGGTCAGAATCAGTGGCAGATACTATATCTTCAAGCGGAGATGCTGCTGGAAGTCCGAGCGTAGAGGGCATTCAGTTTCCGCCCGCTGAAATTCTCGATATTGCTTTGGAAATGTATCTCTACTACTTCCATCCTACTCTTCCAATTATTCACATACCAACATTTTCGGCCAAGAATGCTCCGCGGTCGTTACTACTATGTATGTGTCTGATTGGATTGAGTATTTTGGGTACAGCTGGCGCAGCCAAATTCGTCACACGCACGTTTCCTGTAAGAAGAACATACGGGATACACTTTCGTCTGCTAACATACATATAGGCTGTGTTACAGCTTGTCATGGCCGAATTACAATCGTTACCAGCATCAGACCAGCCACCACATAGACAAATGCGAGTCATCGCTACCAGCTTACTGGCTCTCAACCTGGCTTCAATTACCGGAGTGAGTTTAACAAGGAAGACAATCTGTTTGCATGCTGATCCATTCCTAGCGGAAAAGCCGCATCGCGCAAGCCGAGAAGCTATACTCAGAGCTTATTGGTGTATGTACACATTCGTGTCTATTTTTGTCATGATACTGATAGCTATAGTTTGCTCTAACCCAAAGCCTCTTTTCTGCGAACGAAGCTGGCAAGATAGAACCACTCCTCGATGAGATTATCGATATCGATGCTAAATGGAAGACATGGTCCAAGATCGAATGCAGCAAACGAATCATATTCGGTCTGGTCGAGGCAGACTGCTGGTGGGCAGGATATCTCTCAACGTCTCCCATGATACGCCCAGAAACAGTTCACATTCTTCCGCCGTCCGATTACGCTTTGTATCATGTCAACAGCGCTGCAAAATGGTTTCACCTGGTGCAAAGAGGTGCCAAGGTTCATTCACAGAAGATTACACCATCATTCCATCCAACTCCGGGATTGAAACTGGATACCAGTAGCTTCCGATGCTTACTAACACTGCTCCTCCTCCGTATCTACGAGAGCAACGATCGTTTAGCCCCTGCGACAGGACACCAGAAGCAATTGGAGCCCTGGCGCATTTATGCCGAAGATCCACGAAGTCGCGACATCCTCCCTCTGCTAGTCAATCTCTCAAGCTCCTCCATCGACGCCGTCCGCACCGCAGACCTCAACTCTGCTGTTCTCTGGCATGCCTCATGTATGCTTCTCGGCGCCAACCTGCGCTACTTTGAACTCGCAGCTGGGCGCTCAGGCCCTGAGCCCGCCGTCAATGCCCTTGAAGACATTTCGGCATGGAGTCAAACGCCCAGCGCTCGTCGCAGCGTTCTTCATGCCTCCCAAATTTACAAGCTACTTTTCGACCGCAAAGTAAGCGACATAGTCAACCCACATAGCGTTGTCGCCCTTTTCGAAGCCGCCCTCATACTAGGCCTGTACATCTTCACTGTCCCACCCCACTCCTCCAACTCTACCAACGGTAACTGCCCATCAGCTGAGTCGTGTATCGAACTTCTAGATCCCGTCGACTGGCTTTCCGTCGGCCAGCTCGGTTTCATCGACAGCTCACAGTCCCCCGTCAGCTTCCCAGACCCAACGGAAGCCCTCAAATTCATCCGTCACGGCGGTCCCTTCAGCATAACCGGCATCGCCCTCGACGGCGGCTACCTAGCCGCACGCCGCACCCTCTTGCACTGCGCAGATCTCATGGAAGGCATGGGCCGCTGGAAGAGCCGCACATTCAGCCAAATCTTGCACATCATGAGCGACGACCTAACCGACTACGAGGGCCACAGCAATGACGAAGCAGATTTCGCAGCCGAGATGCAAGAGAATGACGAGGAGCGCGACCGTAGACGTAGCGGGACGAGGCTCGGTCTCCAGGACGAACAGCAGCAGGACCTATCGCATCAGCTATGACGGTGGCAGTCCTCTTCCCAGCAGTGTCTTTCCATTACGAGGCTGAGACACCTGTGGGGGCAGAGGAGAGGGAGGAACACGCGACGGTAAAATGGACGGGGGTAAATGCATATATGGTTTGCGTGGCTTGGATGCTTTTGGGGGCCAAATGCGGATTTTACACTACTTTGCGCAGATACAGGGTTGGGTACTCGGCTATCTTTTCTACAAAAAGAGGGAGTATGGTGGGGGTTTCTATGTAGAATACCTTAGTACTGATACATATGCACAATAGGGGTATTGGGATGACGCTTGATTTGCTCATTTTCTCTTATCCAACCTGGAGTAAATGGGGGAGAGAGAAAGGTTGAAATGTGAAGTTATTTTTTTGCTACGTCTACATTGGCATTACTGTGTGATTGAGCCAGAGCTATTTCTTCACTGCTACAACTAGACATCAACAATAGTCTCATCACTTTTCTATCTTGTCTTCCGTCGTCTTCACTATCCTGAGAGAAAAATGTCCACATCTCGCACTTTGATCGGTGTACCATGCGTAATTAAATCGCCCGCAGTGCTACTTTGCATGATAGGTTCCAAGGGTGCTAGATCCATGGTCCGGTATTGCTCGAGGTCTACTAGGGCTTCTTCTTCTTCAACTTTGTAGTGGGGCCGCTGATGGTCGGTTTTCCGTGGGTTTGTGTTTCGACGGTTCTTGGATGGCGGAGGTGGGCTGGGGGTTGGGCTTGAGGGAGTAGTGTAGGGTGCGCTGAATGGAGTGTCTATGGTTGACGAGGTACTTGGAGATAGAATGGGCTCGGAGGCTCGACGGGTGTGGGACAGAGGTGGTGTGGGAGGTGAGGGTTTGTTGGCATTTGCGTTGGAGGGCTGTTGGAGTGTTAGCAGTTGTTCATCTTCGCGTGGACGCATACTAACTTCTTGAGCCGCGGATGGATCATGAGTGGCTTTGACGTCACTTCCACCATCTTGATAGCTATCTTGAGCTGGATACAGCTCAGCTGCTTCTGCTGTTGCCACCGATTTGGATTCGATTTCTTGCGCTGACACCTGCGCTCGCAATTTCTCCTCCATCAGTCTGCGGTACTTGCTCATCTGCTCGTCCTCACTCAGCTCTGCCTGGTCATGCGGGTATAGTGTGCCAAAGTCTTGTATGGAAGTATCCACGACAGTCGTAAACGGGATATTCATGACGTCTTCAATAGTGTCGCCTTGATAGACGTTGAGGTTGGACACTGTCGTGTCGAAGTCGCTTAACTCCATGGTGTTGGTCTTTTTCGTCATCGTCGTGCATGTGTTTAATTGCGTGAAGGTGTTGTTTCTCGGATGGTTTGTCGAAATAGAGGGGAAGGGTTTTTGGCACCAAGGGCATAGTCAGGGAAGGGACAGTGAGGTTAGATAAGTAAAGTGGGGACAGCAAACGCGGTAAAGGTAAACAGTGGTCACATTCACGGGACATTAATGATTTCGCAAAAAGGTTTCTCCAATTACGGTAAGCAACCGTCGTCATACCCTATTTTTACAAATGATCCCGCAACAAACATGTCCATTTTCAAAATGATAGGTGAAAGGAAAACCCACGTGAATAAACCTGCTAACATCAAACCTCAACACCCTCTTCACCCACACGTATCCCTCTAAGCACATAACCATCCCTTCTTGCCTCAGCCGCTTCTCGCAACAGAGTTTTCTTAACCTCTTCAGATCTAACTCTCCACCTCACATTGTACGGCTTCGCCATCGTGGTACTCCCAATCGCATCAAACGCCTCATCACTAGTATCAACCTCGATTTCCTTTCCCGAGCTATCAAGCGGGGGTAAGATATCGAAAGCCCAAAGCAACTTTGCAAGAACAATGAACATGCTATTCTCCGCCAGGTGGAGGCCAGAACAGATTCTGCGGCCGGCGCCAAAAGCCCAGTGGTCGCGGCTTGCTGCAGGTCCAGCAGCGTAGTGACCTGATCCGTGTGGGTGGTTGAGATATCTCTCTGGATAGAAACGCTGGGGTTCGCTGAAGACGTTGGGATCGTAGTGGATGGGGTACTGTTGGAGACATACGACCGATTGTGCAGGGATGTGAATGCCGTTATAGTCGACGGGTGCGGTGGTGTAATGCGGTGTACCGAAGTTGGTGACAGGACGTAGACGCAGTGTCTCTTTGACAATGGCACGGATATAAGGCAACTCGGGCTCGTTATCGAAGGTTGGAGATCGAGTAGACGATGTGACTTTCTGGATCTCTTCAAATGCCCTTTGCCTGGCATGTGGGTTTGCAGAGAGGTAAAGGATCGCCGTATTGAGTGCTGCGGAAGTTGTTTCGCTTCCTGCTTCAATCATACTACCTGCCAGAAACGCTGCCTGTAGCTCACTGATACCTTGCTTTTCGTAGTCGCTTTCCATAAACTGCTTCACAAAGCATTCGGGAGCTTGCTTGGTTTCCATCTGCGTCTTCAAGGTGCTCCAAAACGACATCCATAGCTTAGCTTGCTTTTCAAAGTATGGTTTGACTTCTTTGCGCCACCACTGTAGTTTTGGAGGGAGTTTTCCGAGGAAAGGAAGTGTGTCAGCAAGGTAAGTGCCTGGCTTTGCCAAGAGAGAAAAATCGTTCATGATACCGTAAATGCCATGAACTTCGTCGCAGTCCTAATCCTTTTAGCCCAAATCATCAGATGGATTTTGTATATTCATACTCACCCAATCTGGTATACGTCTTCCATAAGTACTTGTCATGATGACACTAACGGTATATCTTCTGATCGCTTTGTAACTGGCCCCATTTCCCTTGTCTGTATCCGCTCCGTGCAAAATCTCCTCAAGCAGCATCTTTGCTTCGAATTCCTGACTTGGTTGGAAAGTGGCGCTCACAGCTGGGGTCAGCAGCTTGTGGCTGATGCTTCTTAACTTTCGCCATTCAGGTCCATACTCCATGAACAAGAATCTCATTCCCCCGCTCAGTGCATCTCCAGATACAGGCAGTGGTGCTCGCGAGCTGGTGGATGCAGACTGCTTGTCGAGAATCTCCTTGCACGCATTAGGCGAGCAGATCATGTACCAATCATTCCAACCAAGTCGGATCCTGTATACTTCGCCATACTCGCGAGCCCATGCTGTGATTTGCTGATGTGGTTGCTGGCCGAGTTGATGTGCATTTCCGAGGATTGGAAGGCCAGCAGGCCCAGGGGCGGCTTTTGTGCCGGGCGGCAGTTTGTTCTTGTATCGTGTGTAGACAACGAAGGTCGCGAGCAGCAAGGATAGGAGGGCAAAGGTGTGCATGTGGGGCTAGGAATGGCTGGGGTGTATGTTGGGGAAGAACATGAAGCGTAACAAAAAACACAGTGCTCTTAGGGAATAGACTCTGGGAACTAGGCTTTCTGGATATTGGATTAAGTACGGACATTCTATTGATAACACGCATGGTTTGATGTAGGTTGCGCACCCCACATGTTTAGGCTAAGAGGCCTGAGTATGGTACAGGCAGATGAATGAGGGGAATGTGGAGTAAAGCTTGATAGGCTGCTAGCCCGTGTTTTGTCCAGAGCATCTTCTCCACCTTACCCCATATTCGGTCAGCCTATGGCAATAGGGAAATTGATATGGGCTCCCATAGCGCGTTAGTACGTGCTAGTCGCCACTTTCTTGAAGCCTCTAAGCGGGACCTAACGCTCTCATTCTCGCCAGCAGGGTCGAAACCATGCGATCTGAAAAATGACACGTTTTCCCGCTGTTCAGATGGCACAAAGACAATGCTCAAATGCGATGATACATAACAAGCACCTTATCCATCCAATCGTTAGTCAGCAGTCGCTCTGTCGGCTCCCGAAGCTGCCGAAACCCACATGCACATCCATCCTTCAGCAACATAGCGAAAATGTAGTCTTAGAATCAGCGCGAATCCTGTCGAGATGTCACCGCGATTCACATATAGATAAAAAGATCGCATCCCATAGCTAACAAAGTCATGAAAAACTAACGATGCTCACCCGCTTAGCAGTCCGCACGCCTCTGCGTTGCCTAACGTCCAGTCTCTACCTGTCCAGCATCCGCGCGCCAGTTCCCCAACGCACCATGTCCACCTCGCCCTCATTCAAACTCGACCCCTCTCTCTTCAACCGCACACTATACGACCGCGTAATATCGAAATGGTTCCCCGGTATCGACACCAGCGGGCAGGAGCTCGACATGACCGTGGTGAAGCGCTGGTTCATGGCGAGCCCCGCCGAACGAGTCGCATTCGACACACAATGTCGCGAAGCCTTTTCTCCCGCGTTGGAAGCCATTGGCCCCGACAAATGCCCCGACGCGACCGCGCACCCGTTCCTCGACGAATTGCGCCGTATTGCTGAGCCAAATGGGGATGCGAATAGCGAGGAAGCGGCGTGGACGGCGCTTAGTATGGCACTGCTGCTCGACCAGATACCGCGGAATATATACCGTACAGATTTTGGGCTGCAGCTTGTATACAACCACTACGACTGCGTGGCGAAGCATCTAGTCCGTACGCTCTTATCCCCCGAGTCGCCTATTCCACGCCCGGATTTGCATCCAGTCTTCCGCCTTTCGTCGCCGCATAGAATGTGGTTCTACATGCCGCTTCTCCACTCTGAAGACGTGGCTGATCACGATTTTGTAGACGGCATTGTGTATGAGCTGGAGAAAGAGGTAGCAAGTTTAGAGGGATACAAAGGCACAAAGATGTTTCTTGAGGGGTACAACAAGTCGGCTAGGGAACATAGAGATATACTGGATAGGTTTGGTAGATATCCGCATCGGAATGGGGCGTTGGGTAGGGAGAGTACAGAGGAAGAGAAACGGTTCTTGAAAGAGGGAGGAGCTACGTTTGGGGTTGTGCAGGAGACGAAGGAAGCTGCGTTCTAGGACACTAATCTAGCGTCAACACAGTCTTGTGCAGACAGAGTATCTTTGCATTAGCGAAATATTCGCTAGTCAAGCTGCTCCAAGATAAGGTGTATCCTTGCCAACCCATCAATGATTGCGTACTTAGTGCTACTTTTCTCTCTTGGTATTGGCCTTGTCCTCGGCCAGTTGTACCTGCACCTCGAACCAATGAAGTAGCCGTTCAGTAGCCTCAACATTTCTCTTCAGATCTTCCACATTTTGCTGGAGTTGCTTGCGATGCTCAAACACTGCTGATCCTTCCGCTGCCTGCATTTCTTCATACTGTGACAAAGCATGCTCGAGGTGATGTAGGACCTCCTTTTGCCTTATCCAGTTGGTACGCACTTGCTCCGTGGCAATGATTGGGCCATGGAAGTCGTCTTGCGCAACTGCTGCCGACTGCTGCGGTGTCTCGGATTCTGTGCTGGGTAGTGAAACCTTATCCGCTCGCTGCTTCTGCCGCAACTGCTTTTCTGAGTCTGCTTCGTGGTATCCGAGGATCGCATACCGAACAATCATGTCCCCAGTCATGTTGTTGACTAGTTGTAGCTCTCGTCGCAATATGTCTTTAGCTCTGTCTTCTTTGTCGTCAAGGTAAAAGACGTGCTCCATAAGCCCAAGATGCCTCCACAAAAAGTTCATTTCCATTCTTACTTGTTCCTTGTCCCTCTTGATTTTCTCCCGCCACTCTTGGATGACGCTTTCGTCCCGTGTCTGAAGACTGTCCTTGTATGCTCGATAGCCTGCTTCCATGTCTGGCCCTGTAAGATCGTCTGCTTTGAACTCTATTTGTATGAGGGTAAACTTGGCCGTGTCTGCTTGTAGCGAAGAGCTCAACGCTGGCCCCTGAGATGCTCGGCTCGACGGTGTCGCGTGCTGCTGTCCGCTAGACATACCACTCATCCCCCTGGCCCTTGCAAAATATAGAGGGTTGCGCAGAATCTGTAGATATGGAGATGAATGATACTTGAGCGCAAGTTTGCCAACGAGTGATAACGAAGCTTTCGCTTCCTCATCACGCTGCAATTTTTCATATGCTCTTCTCCGGTTTACCCTGTCGGATGACTCAATGATACTCATAAGTCGCGGGTCGATGCGAGTTATAAACATTTGTCCAGTCTTGTAGCCCAGTGCGCATCCGACGGTCGTTGCTCCAATGAACCTTGAGATCCCATAGGCTCCAGGGAAAGCGCGCGGGCTCAGGGCCGTCACAATGCCCAATACTCCACCAGCCAGCATCGCATCATCTGCAGTCCAGCCCGTTGTCTTTTGCCATAGCTTTCCAGGCTCTGGCGTGATATTTTCCATTTTGAACACCCCTCTATTTATCTCCCGTTGCCCATACAAGCCAGCAGCTGTCCATGAGAGATCGACGACGCTGAAGAAGGCTGCGGAACGCAGGAACGTGCCTGGATATGAGCGGCCAACAAGCGCAAAGAGGCCGGCGATGCCAGCAGCAGCAAGAGAACTTCTCCATGGTGATGTGATCAGGTCAAGCTCTGCAGGGAGGCCGCTGGGTCGTTTTCGCGTGAGCGGATGTTGTCCCTCGCCTAGAGCTCGGTCAGGAGCTATGCGCCGCTTGTGCCTTTCAGACACATACCTTCAGGAACAAATAATCGGATGACCATTTTGCATTACGATGGTTATGTATAAATTCGCGGAGCGGGCGGTAGTAAAGCGACAGTCATTGGATACATTGTCCCAGTGAGTGAAGCTTGCGGAATGGAGCAGAGGTCACGCAAGCGCAGTTCGGGAAATTGCGTTTATGATGTCGATGATGCATGCACGACCCTTACGGTAATGCATATGACGTATCAATCGGGAGTTATATGAAGGAAGTGGCAAAGAACAGGCAGTATAAACCATGACTGCCCTCAAGTCCACAGCAGTTGTTTTACACAACCATCTCAATTAGACGGTAATACGTATACTATTCTTAAGTGGCGATGTCGCGTCCGTGGGTCAACCGGCCCCACAGCTGAAGCCCCACAACAATGAGACGTAGTTCGTTCCCGGATAGGACAAGTACGATGTGATTGTGCGACTCTCGAATTGAATTCATATATATAACAGCAAATGCTCAAGTCTTTCATCAATAGCTACTCGAGCTACACGGTCTTATGGTCTAGTGGTATGATTCTCGCTTAGGGATTTCCCGAGCATTGCTTGCGAGAGGCCCCGCGTTCGAGTCGCGGTAAGACCCTTTTTTTGCACTTTTGTTTCTAATTCCATCATAATCTACTAGATACTTTACTTAGATAGCTCTAATTTCTATTTAGTTTAAAAAAAAAATTTTAAAATTATATCTTACTAAGATAAAAAATAGAGTAAATTAAAAAAAATAGTTCCTAATATTATAATTAAAGTAATTTACTGCTAAGTCGTTAACCCCACTAGGTTATTAGCTCTACTACTATACCTTATCTTTATAATAAGATTACGTAATATTACTACAATATTTCTTATTAAGTAGAATAAGATATTATTCTTAAAACGCGTTACTATCTTCTATATTCTTTAATTCTACTTAGTATATATAACGGCTCAGCACCCGTTCCTATATATATCCGAACAGGATCTAAACTAGAGTACGATTCGGCCTAGTAGNAAAAACGACTATATAAACCTAACCTCTATAATAGCTTATTAGGTAGATTTTTAATATCCTTTCGTATAAGGCCTATAGNTNTCTATTTAAATTAAGGCTCGTTTAATGTCCTACGCACTCCTATATACCTCTAAGT